TAATTTACCGTTATCTGCTAGGAAAACTTCTTCTTCCACGCCATCAATTATTTTTTTTATTGTTTTATTAAGATAAGAAAAAGGTGGTTGATAAAAAGTACATACTTGCAATTCTCTACCTTTCATATCAACGACATCGAATTCAGACATCAATTCTTCATAACTATGATATACATTCAAAGCACATAATACATTTGTTTACATATTTTATTAATTTAAAAAAGATTAATAATAATATAATAAATTGATAATTTATATTATAAATATATAAAATGGTTATAAAAATTGCATACCTATGTACTTTTAAAAAAAATCTAGGTTTCAAATAATTTTCTGACAAAGTCCAAATTCCAGATCTTGAAACGATATTTGCGTTGGAATTTCCAAATAAGGAGACATTAAAAAGCTTCGAAGTATTTTTTAATTCATCATTAATAATAATAAGAATTTCTATCGTTGAAATGGATGAAGGCACACTGCAGAAAAAATATATGTACTTACATAAATTTTAGAGCAATATTATTCGATATTCTTAATAGTCATGTGTTATTTTATATTTTTCTTTCATTTATATTCTACTATTTTATATGTTATTATTAAATTTAATTGTATTTTTTCTATATTATTATCATATAAAAAATTAAATTAATCTTGTTTCCAATCTTATTGATTAAGATTTATAATATAGCTAGATAATAAGATAATAGATAATAGATAGTAGATAATAGTTTTATAATAGATAATAGATAATAGATAAGACAATAGATAGAGATAATAGATCTAAATAAGATAATAGATTTAGATCTAGATAATAGATTTATAATATATCTGTGTTTTATTTTACAATTGCATAGCATTTTTTATTTCTCCATCCGTCGGTCCCAATAAGAAATATCCTTGACAGTCAAAGAGTCTTTCGTGCAGAACATATTCGCGCGGATAAATATTGATAAATTGATGAAGTAATGTGTCCACATCATAAATCGATTCTAAAAGATAATTTACTTATAGGCTGCACATTATTTTTGTGAAGTACGAATGGAAATACGCACCACTTAAAAAAATATTGCAACATTTGGAATAAAGAAATGATTTCTTGATCATTGTTGTAAAATTTTGTGTAGAAATCCAGGATTCCATTTTGGAATTTTTCATAATATTTTTCTTATCAGTTAATACCGGAATAATGATGAGTAATAAAATGCCAAACATTGAATTCACTTTCATGATAATTAATTCATTGTAAAAAAATTGTTAGAATTTAACAATACAATCTTCAACAAATATTCTTTAATCATAATCCTTTAACGATAATTAATCATATCATATCATAGATATGAGTCATAGTACTAATAATGGTATAAATGCAACGATACATGCATAATAAACAATTATGCATGTTTTAAAGTATTAAAACAGAAATGAAAAGTAATAAATAAATGATTGTGTATATTACATTTTAATTTTCAATCTATTTATAGCATTGCTTATTTAACTTTTCGGAATTACAAAATGTACTATTATATTAACATATTAATGTATTATTAAGAGTTTTTTTTAATAAGATTCAAATTAACTTTTTTATTAAGGATAAGTATAACTAAGAAAAATTTCTTTTGTTTACTAGAATGTTAAGTAGTGTTATTAATAAATTGATACTAAATTGATTTAAATATACTTAAAAAAAAAGAAATCAATTAATTATCAATAATAAGTCAACTTACTTGATTATTGTTATATAAATATACAATTTTCTTAATTTTTATACAGATAATATTACGCACAACAACTAGTAACACGTAGTAAGTCTGACATGAGAATGAAAGTCAACTTGGTAGATTACCTGAAATGAAATTGCATGTGATATGATGTCTGTACGAACGTACTTATACGTGCAATTCCCATTATAACACTGTGTACATATAAGACACTCGAGGGGGGGTGCAATTTGACAGCAGATAACTACCTCGATAGCAATCTTTGAATAAACATGTAGCTCGACCAACATAGCTGATATAAATATAATTACGCGATGGATAAAAAACATTTGCTCAATTATCCGCTGCAACGTTGCTTATGACGTTTAATTAGTGATCTATAAAAAATTTACTGATAGTGTACCTCGTAACGACAGTAACGAAGCTAAACATATAGTGAATTCATTATTATCTTGATAAAACAAGGATTATCTAATAAATTACAAAATGTCCTTGGTTTTACTGATCTACATAAAGATACTTAATGTTCAGTCTTTACATATAGCAGTAAAATATGCTGTTCAATAAAATCAACATTATTCTAACAAATATTTTTCAAACATTTACAATAATACATTTACATATTGTTGAATTTCGGTAAAATAAATTAAATTGCGTAGTTATTTATTATAACAATATCGAAGATATTGAAAGAAAATTTTCTTCTAAATAATTATTTAATAATTAATTTAAAAATGTCGAAATTAATTAAATTAATTATATAAAATTAATTAATTAACATTATTAATAATATTCACACAATTAATTCTAATAGTACTTAATTAAATATTTAACAGAAATATTTGATGTTTTAGATTTGATTGTCATCAGATTGTAACTTGCATATTTTTACTATCGTAATGCTTGATAGAAAAAAAAATTCATTTAATGCCGTTTCATTTTATAAGTTGTAAAAGAAGAGGAAATATAAAACAATGTTAACAACTCCTATATGTCACAGAACAGTCATTTATAACAGTAAAAAATAAAACATATAAGGTTTTAATAAATACTTCTTAACAGAAATATCTTAAACAGAAAGAAAAAGCTCAATAGAAATATGCATAATAATTTTTTATATTTTGATGTATTTATATTCGCATCATAAATAATAATGACACACTGCTGGAATATTAATATTCATTATTGTGAGCGTTCCTAATCGTTCTATGATCAAAATAATCTCTATTAACTACACTGAAAAAAAAAGTTGTTAACTTGACTAAATGCGTTTAGTTTGTAATGATTATTTAGTTAAATATTTAGATTAATAAAATCTTGTAATTTAAAACTGTTATTTGTTTGAATTAACAAATATTTGCTTGACAGTCCGTGACCGCTACATTTAGTTAAATCAACTAATACTTTTTTGAAATAACAACTTCTTTTTCTCAGTGTAATGATCATGAATTAACGATTTGCAAAAAAAGACACGAGACCAGTAGATAATTTTACGAGCTTCAAATAAGTAGCCCGTAAGAATCATGGGAAGAATTAATTTGTTAATTATTCTTTTAATTATAATTTTTATTTTAAAGTAATTAATACAAAAAATATATTATGAGCATTATTTCATGAGGTTAGAGAAAAGTTGATCACTTGAAGTAATTTATCTTTTTAATGAGAGAATGATGGACGAGCAAATTGTGAAGAATTCATTCGTATTACCCGCCTTTAAAACATCATTCGTTATCCATTCTTCAAGTTGTGTAATGCATTTTTATGCTAAATCATACATGAGACGTCGCTACTGTCGTCTTTTCATGCCAATGGCAGTGTTCTTTTACAATCTAAAATATCATTCTGTTTTTCTCTGCGAGAAATTTATCTTTTAACAATTCTTTCGTCCAACACACACAAACTCATGCTAATGAGCAGCTGATTGCGTGTCTCGAGACAAGTTTTTCGCATGATATATTTGAACTGAATGACATAAATATTAGTATGTTCTTTGCTCACAGCATGACATTTATTTGTTGATTCTTATAATTCATTATTTTCATAAGTGTTTCCAAGATGAGTGTTTTCACGATACTTACAAAATTATCCATCAGCATGACAGCAGGTAATATTTTTACTTATTTAATTTTTTTTAATAATTTTTTTTAATAATTTTTTTTATTCGAAATCAATTGAAATCTTATTACAATTATAATTACAATTATTACAATTATTATTAAGCATAAAGGATCTCAACATTTTTAATGCTAAAATATTTTATCTGATCATTAAATGTCTGTGAAGTTTATATTTATATAAATATATAATCACTGGAAAAAGTAACTTGAGGACTGTTATGTGAAAAAAATTGAATTATTAAAGAATAATTATTAAAGAATATTTTTGTTTTTATATATATGTGACGAAAGAATATAAAAAAAAATTGTTTATTAAGAAATATTTTTGTTTATTAAAGAATATTTTTGTTCTTACATATATGAAAGAATATTCAAAAACAGAATGTTGTCACGAAAGAATATTCAAAAAATATTCAAAAAAATTTTATTTCTTAAAGTGAATTGTGTTACTAATTAAAGTTGTTTAATTTTAAAATATTAAGAATTTAACGAGATTTTATAGATTA